AACCTCGTGCCATATATGAAAGTTTGTCAACTTATAGGTGTTCCAGTGTTTATACACAATCCAGTAACCTTGCAATGAAAAGGTCAAGGCCATCAAACCATTTCTTTAGTACTATTTTAATAAGCCTTGCATGTTGGCATCAAAATCAAATTCAACAGGTTTTAAAAGAGATTGTAAAATTTCATGGGAGCATTAGACCTGGTTGTAGAGGAAGTTTCTAAACAACCTATTGACACTGAACACATAAACTGGTTTAAACAGAAGGTAGTAGTGTAATGTGGTAGAGAGAGCAGCAGGAAAAAAAAATGAAAATAATAAACAAACTACAAAAATTTATTTTTTATTTTTTTCTTTTTGAAAAATATTTTAGATTTTCAACTTATTAAATTTATACTAATCCCAATTAAAAGGCAAGTGCAGTAACTAAAAATAATGGATTGGTCGTTGAGAATTGGAGAAAGAATCCGTAAATGAATAACCAGCTGATCTGTGACTAAAGAAAACTATAGCTAAAGAATGAGTTTGAGATGAAAAGGGTCTAAAGTTTAAATTTCTGGATACATAGAGTTTAGAATGAAACAGGCTTGCTAGCTGATATACTCATGCGCGTAGTCAATTGATTATTTTTGCTCGTTGTTCGTACGCTATGATGCTCTTTCTTAACGATTCTTATTCACTCTCTTGAATCTTGATAGATGATTTATAGGGCCCAATGTGCATGATTTATGACTTTGATAACTTGGCTCAAATATTCAATTAAAAGTAAAAGAAAATGGACTATTTGAAATGAGACTAACATTATCCAGTTCTCGTATGTTCTGCATTGCTCCATCTGGATCAACAAGTGCCCTCACTACTGGACTAAGTGCGAGAGCCACAGCATTTCTCGCTTTATCATAAGTCTGAAAAATCAGAGAAGGGAAAATGTTACAGTTGTCGTCCACTTGTACAGATACAGTAACTAAGAGATGATAAAAAAACTTCCGAATGTATTCTATCGGATAAAGAGAGAAAAATTAAGTAATTTGTAATCATGTCATATCTGAAGATCATATATAATGTACAATATTTCATGAACATGAATAATATTATTCAAGCCTATTAGTTGATATACTCGATTGTTAGGGAAAAAGAAAATCTGAAATGATAAAGTATATAAATTAAAAAAACGAAGTTAATGTTGTTTTGTATAGGTGCCTCTTTCACACATTGAAAATAAAAAATTAAGCGGGAACTAGTTTTAAAATTTAAAAAGGAGACTAACAACAATCTCAACAATAATCATTTTTTTTATCTCTTAATAAAATGAAATAAATAATTAATGCAAAAACATCATATTTGGAAATCTTGCATATTAATAATATTTCATAAACTTAGATATTAAATTGTGTACATTACCAAATATCAGTAATAATTGAGATAAGAAACATCGACAAACAAACTCAAAAATGGAAATATGCTATTAAACTTTTTTTTTTTTTTAAATATGCTATTAACTTGACATAGGTGTTCTACATAAGAAAAAGGAAGTTGATTAGGCACATAAATACAAAAAAAGATTATAATTTTTTATTTTTTTTGGAAAAAACATCATACATGGAATGCTATATGGTAATAATCAAATTATATTCGTCGAAAGTAAAAAATTTTGATATCAATGTCACATGAGACCTCATTATATTGCACGCATATGCCAACATACTAGTTATTACATCTAAGTGTAGGAGCTTTTGTAATCATTCCCTTAGCTAGGTGGAGTACACTTTAATTATATTTCGAAAACCAAAGACAATGGTGGCAGATAATTGACATAACTTGCATTCCCACCATCAGAAGCTCAATTGCTTCTAACTTAACACACACAAATACATACTAAAGTTCTTGAGAATATCATTTAAACACTTAATACAAAGCCTTACACATAAGAAGTTGCAGATTCATCCCGAAAAGAAAGTGAGGAAAAAGAACAAATGGGACAGCAAAGACCAAAGATCAAGACAGTAAAATATGTGTTTTCTTATAGTATTTCTTATTACCAAATGTATATGATATCAATCCAAGGGGAAATTTTGGAAGAGGAAAAAGTACCTACAAAATGCATCGATTTTATTTTCGAGATAGTCGTAATCAAGAAATTTCCAATAAATAAGCAAAAAATATGCAAGCATGCTCAAATATTGAGTACCTCGAGCTGATTTGTAGTAAGAAATGCGTTAATTCCATGTAGCGGTGCTCCGATTGGGAAACGAAAATCAAGTTCTGCAATTAAATATGCACTTGATCACATGTTCCATCAAATCATATGCCAATGGACCATTCACATTGCTAAAATCGACATATTACTTTTGCATTAAGTATTGGCCATACCGCCAACAGCACCCCCTCTGTTGACGAAAGTGTGAGTATGATCCTTCACAAGCAAATTTTTATCAGCACCTACCTGAGCCAAGCAAAATAAGAAATATATCAGAAGCCATTCACAATCAATAAAGACAGAATATTGCATAAGCACTTATTTATAACGACAATGCTAAGTATTGACGCCAGTATGTCTCATTTAGTCTGGGGGATCTCCATATGGATTTCTGTGATCGGAAGCAAACTCTAAGACCATGGGCCACTAGGTCGATCCACTCTAAGGAATCAAAGATAAATTTTATAAAGATCTTATCCCAAAAATCACCTTCAATATTAATTCTAGCATTGCCATAAAAAGAAAAAAAAATACAGAGAATTATAGCTTAAATAACACTTTCTCCCTCCCCTCCAGCCCCCCAACCCCCAATCTGTAAACATTGCAATGTAACATACACTGACTATATATAAATAAGATGGACAGGCAAGTAGTAGTATCATGTTATCCTCATTTGGCCTATAATTTGGACACTCATCTACAAGCTAATAAGCCAATTTTACCTTCTTCATCAATCGAAAAAGATTATTGTAGCAGCCAAAGAAAACATGCAAACCCATCTCAATGTGGTTTCCCATTTTGTCGACAAAGGACCCTACTTTTCCACCGATGAAAGACCTTGATTCATAAATATCAACCTGCAAATAAACCAAGAATTCCTGGTCATGTGTGATGATAAATCAAATGATGAAAATACAAAAGGTTAATATCTTGAGCATAAAGACAACAGTGCAATAATGCAAGTTAAATTCAATACCCACGTTCTCTCTGATCCAATATATACAGTAAACCAATACAAATAGACTGAACACAAATGGACAGCTCACATCTAACCAAATGATACAGAGCTCCTTGGTTTCATGAAAACTGAAGAGCATTGATAATTAAATAAACACAGTTATCTTTAATTCTTGTTACTATGTATGGGGTGGGCAGTAGGTAGAATATGATTGAACACCTCATGTCCCTGATCCAATAGCTCGACTGCAGTCGACATGCCAGCTAGCCCAGCTCCGATTATCGCCACTTTGAGTTTGGGCCCTTGATACTTTTCGGGCTCCGGAGGAAATAAACCTTTTGGAGCTGCAAGCCAGCCAAGCATCCGTATATATTGCCAGAAGCAAAGTTCAGTTCGACCCATAAATGGTAGGGAACCAAAAAAAGTACAAACATATTAACAATACAAATAAGGGGTAAAAGTAAACCGGAACTAGAAAAATAGCTAGAAGCCATGACTGAAAATTTGCCACACAAGCTCAAGCTTCAAAGTTTGAAGCATTATACAGTAGTAAGGATTACATATCAAGAAACAGAAACGACAAATACAAACGAAGGAATAAAACTGAGCATGAATTGTTCTTACCATTAACGCGCATATCGGAAACACTAGAGTCCAAATCGCAGCGAGCAATGAATCTTCGAGGCCTCTTCAGTTCGTAAGCAGAATGGCCGATCGGAAAATGGGTCCGCCGGCCATTGGCCGGGAAGCAGAGAGAGGAAGCGGCGGCGGCAGCCATACGCTTAGCGGCGTGGGTACACTCGCTAATGGCGGCAGCAGAATCTGAGATTGAGAGGAGCTGCTGGGGCTGAAGGATTAGGTAATTGGAAGAAGAGAGGCCCAAAACGAATTTTGTCAGCACAATGGGAGAGTCTTTTGGGAAGTGCAGTAAAAAATCACCATGTAACGGAAGAATGTTGGCTAGAAAAATAATAGAATATTAGAGTTGTGTAAAAATAAATAAGGGTGATTT